GATAGGGTGAGAGTGGGGCGAACTCCGAGTCTTCTGGGTTTAAATAGTTTTTAGTTGTGCCCCCGAGTGGAAGTATTAGTGTTGACTTGGAAGAATGCTTGCAGCTCCATCCCCATCTCCCCCATCAGAATTCGCCTAGTGAAAATCAGATCACCTCTACGTCGACGATATTCCAGGGAGAACAGGTGCATCCGCTGTAGTCGAAGGGGGTAAGGCAAGTCGCTTAACTCCAGTATGGATTTTGAAGCACGCCGCAGGACCTTCTCAATCATGTCACACTCGAACATAGTTAGAGGAGAGATGGCGAGTAGTCCGTATTGAAGGATCGGGCGCACATGGGAAGTTAACAGGATTCTGAAGATTTCCGGAGTCAGTCGCGATAAAGCTCTCTGTATGGCATGGGATATCCTGTTGGCAGCGGCAACCCTACGTAGTGTGTTTGCTGTGGTCCGTAAATCATGTGAGACAAGCACACAGAGATCTTTCTCAAGAATCGTGGTTCTGAATAACACCCCACCAATATGGTATATCCCGAAAGGTTCAGGGGCGTCTATGGGGAGAACTGAGCATTTTGCACGATTTGTGGTAAATTGTCAGTTGACTGACCAGTCGTGTAGCATGTCCAATGATGCCTGCAATCTGTAACCATCCTCGAGACAGGATACCTCCATCCACAACTTCATGTCACCGGCGTAAATCAGGAAATTTATCTGAAGTTCCGATGGTAGGTCACTAATGAATACCTTGAACAGTACTGGACCAAGTACCGACCCTTGCGGAACACCGCTAGTCATGAGCACAGGAGCGGAGTAGGCTTCATTCACCTGGATCAGCATGGTCCGGCCATCCAAAAAATCAGCGATGCAAGAAAGGACATTATCAGAGACACCGGTACCTCGGAGTTTAAGAAGGAGCCTTTCATGGGGAACCTTGTCAAACGCCTTGCTGAAGTCTACAAAAACCACATCCAATGGTTTCCCAGCGTCTACCGACCCCGCCCAATTCTCCCTAGCAACAAGCAGGTTCGAGGTACATGAGCGTGCCCGTCGAAAGCCATGGTGAGCACAAGATATGATGTTTAGGTTCTCGAAGTGAAGCTGCAGGGCGCGCTTGAGAATCCTTTCCATGTACTTGCACAGTACGGACGTTAGGCAGATAGGTCGATAGCTTGCAGGATCTTAACAATCCTCTCCCTCGTATATAGGTTTAACGGTTCCCAATTTCCAAGCAACCGGGAGTCGTCCAGCTTCCAGGGAGTGACGAAATATCTGACAGACAGGAGCAGCAATGTGGTCCGCCACGGTCTTGAGGAACAGTGGGTGCAGTCTATCAGTACCCGGCGAGGAGTTCGGATCTAGTTCACGAAGGCCAATGGCAATATCAGCCACACTCATTTCTATGTGCTGTAACGAAGCGGGGTGGATTGGCGCAATGTCACCGGGTAACGGCGTCTCGATAGAATAAACAGATGAACATAGCAGGGCCAGTAAACTGCCTTTCGTTCCATCGTCGTCAAGTAAACCGCCCTGCTGTGCGGAAAACAGGGCAGGAATGCCACTACCAGCTTTGGTACTTATTTTCAAGTAAGAGTAGAGTGTCTTCGGTGTCGCCCTGGATTGTACAGCCAAATTGAGTTCATACTGATGCCGTTTCTGATGTTTTTTTCAAGATACAGTCATTTCTGATCAATTTGTACTCCGAATAGTCAAGCGCGCAGTGAGTGAGCTTGAATCGGTCCTATAATTTACGTCTTTTGGACATTAAGCACCTCAATTCTCGGTGTATCCATGGACGGCCTCTGGTAAACGTTCTCCTTTTGCAAACTGGAACAACGTGCTCAACAAGCGAAATCATCTTGGATGAAATTTCTCGGATAACTGCTGTTTCAAAACACTCCACATAGGTAATTTTCTTCCTGTTTCCGCGATGCGGCTGTGCTGCAGTGTGTTTCCGCTCTTTTGAACAGGGTTTGGATGCACCACTTCGTGTGATTCATTGGGTGGTTGCTGTGTTAGATTAATATCTGGTCCGTATGCGTTTCCTTCCGACATACGCGTGTTTGCAGAGATCCGTCGGTATTCCTAGTGACCAGTACATTCAAAAATGGTAACTTGTTATCCTCCTCCAATTCACCCGTAAATTTGGTATCTTCTAAAGTGCTGTTGAGCAAATGGTGCGTGGCTTGTACTCTGTTCCGTTTTACGATGACAAATGTCGCGTATCGTATCCAGAGTTTTGGGCTGATAGACGGTAGTGCAATGCGCTACAATTTCTGCACCACGGCTTTTGCATTGAGTCCCATCATTGGAGATCCCATGGGTGTTCCTTTCAGTTTGTAATACACTTGTCCATTTAAGCAGAAATAAGTGGTCATGCAGGTTCAAGAGTTCCTAAAAGGTTTCAGATCGCATGGTTGTCGTTGGGCTAAGTAGTTCCATCATGGTTTCTTTGGCCAATGCGTGACCGATTGAAGTGAAGAGTGCGGTGATATCGAGTGAAAGCATTATTTCGTCGCCTTCTATTCTGACACTCCGCAGCTTGTTGAGGAATTGATCAGCATCGTTGCTGCTATGTTCGGATCCAGTAATCAAATGTTCCAACGTCTTTCACAAATCCTTCGCTAGTTTATATGATTGGGTTCCGGGAAGCTAGACGATAGGTCATAGTGGGACTCCATCCTTGTGTACTTTGGGTAGTACATAAAACAGTGCAATGTTTGTATCGTCAACTTTCATTCTCCATCTCTCAGTGGTGGTGAGCTCGTTCTTTGTTTGTAGTTTCTTCAGCGTTGCGTTGATTTGGTGGACAAGTTTTGAAATTGGATCTTGATCGATCTGGCGATATGTAGTTGTTTCGGACAGCAGTTCTTTGGCCTTGTTAATATACTCCGGTTTGTCCATTATCACTGTCATGCGCCCTTTATCCGCTGGTAGGATTACAATGTTATCGTCTTTCTGTAGACGTTTCAGTGCATCCAATTCCTCCTTAGCTAGGGTCTAAGTGATTTTATTCTGAGTTAGCACGGGAACAACTGTTTGCCGTACCTGTTGCTGGGACTCCTCCGACAGTCCATTTGATTTCAATGCGTGTTCTAAGCTAGTCAAGTAGTCTTTGGGGCAAGCATCTTTTACGTTGAAGTTTAGCCCCTTAATCAAGACGTCCTCTTCAGTGGCAGTGTGGTGGCGGTGTGAAAGGTTTTTGATCCATCCTTCAATGCTAGCGCAGCCATTTCTCAATCAGTTTGGTTAACTTTGTGTTCAATGTAATCTTACGTCGGTCCTTTGTGCTTTTGGCTCGATCTTTAATTTGTCCGCACGAATTTGTGATCAGTGCCACACTCAGCTCCACGCAGTACATGTGTCATACGCACTTCACGCATGTCATGCTAACGTACGATGAGATAGTCGAGCACGTGAACGTGACCACTACGAATGCTGGTGCTAAGACAACAAACCCTGACGAAAATGATGAACTGAAGTAGCAGCAACACGTTGGTGCTTGGAAATGATGCTTCACTGTCTCAAGATTACCAGCACCAGCGCGCCAGACAAGGATACTGGGAGGTCGCCTACATCTACGCAGTATCAAACCGGCGAGCGGTAGGAGCATTATTCACTTTGACCACCGAGCGACCAAGTGTTGCTTCCTTCATGGATAGCAGAGCTACAGTTGTCCGCCTGACCGATATTACAAGCAAGGCAGTAGCGTCTTCGTATTCGAACATTATCACATTATCGATACTGCAGTCACAAGCAGCTGCTTAGAATGCCAAGATAAAGCAACATCGAGTACATAGCTTAGGTGAAGCTCTCGTTGCCTAGCGCCATAAGCAACCTTATCCAGCAGGTGAATTAACACCACCCACGGATAGGCAGGTGATCCGAAAAGGATACGATAGCAAATGCGTTAATAGTGCTGAATGACGGAGGTTTCGCGGGATCTCGAGCGAAGCACAGTGTAGGTCGCGTGGGCCACAGTCTGGGAAGTGCGACGGGCCAATAACACTTGGGTTCGATCGCCAGTGAATTCATTTCAAGCGGCTAGGTCAACGATTGTCCACCTTTAATCTTACACCATGTCAGACCGGGTAACGAAAACAAATTCCATGATATGCAGGTATGCATAGCAAGTGCCCAAACCAACGCAACTAATTCAGTTTTATTTGTTGATACAACGGACTAACACGGTTATGATAGCCGAGTACTACCTAGTGCAAGTCATCGTCGCAGAAACGCTGAAGTCTACCGACACAAGTGATAATCCGCAAGTGCCTATGAGTAGAGGACCGAAAATATGTGGGATCATCAAACTGGTCTCCACTGTGATTGAATAGGAATAGTCTCAATGAGCAATGAAAATTCCAGCAATCGTAAAGGTGTCGCCGATGCGTGAACTAGATTTTGTGGTCACACACCCGTTGTTGTTTAGGCAGACGACAAGATAAGCAAAGCGAACAACCTCATTCAAGTTTAACATTGTAAGCGATGTTTCTGCGGCAGCGCTTTGTAATCCGAAAGCGCAAAGCGCCTGACAACGGAAGGGATTGAAAGTTTATCTGAATTCGGCTGTATCGTCTAGTGACTAAAAAAATAGCGGGATTAGGTAGTCCGCATAAGTCGGATAAGGCAGTTCTCTCTAAGAGATCCTTAACATTTGAACGATACAATGAAATAAACGCGCATGACGACGTCAACGATTAAGTTGGAAAGTAAAAAAAGCTAAAATATTTGTTGCTTAAAAATGTCTAAAGCTTACCGAACTATGTTAGCGGGGATACAACAATCGTAGCGCCAAGACGGATGCAACGAGAAAGGAGAGAATATAAATACTCCAATGAAACGAAGGGGCTGCTGTTACCACTTTCTAACACAGAGATTGGCAATAGGTTCAGTGGTTCGTAACGTAGCCAATGTGTTATTGGGGGTTCAGTTTACGATATCCAAGTAAAGCTAAACAGTGATCACACAAAGAGATGAGTAACACGCGTGGTAAGAAGTCACCTGAACAGACTTTGACAGGCGGGCAATAACGGCATTCAGAGGCAGCAAAAGTAGGAGTACTCCAATACCAGCAAGGACGGCAGGTCCAAGTTCACGCCACAGTAACACAATGGCTACCACAATTTGAAACGGTCCAGACCAAACGACGTGGACGTACGGCATGAGGTGGATAAACTGTTGTGCATCCGAGGCGATCAAGTTCATGATTTGTCCTGTGGTTGATTCATTACGTGATTTGCTGCTGAGGCGTAGGCTCTAGGACAGGAACAAAATAAAGGAAAACGAGTTTGGAAGGTTTCTCGGAAAGGATCAAAAGCAAACATAGACAAATGACAATTTGAAATATGGATATCTGACCGAGAGATATTCAGGACAACGAAGAACACCATCAACCTGGGTTGAATCCAGAATAGTAAAAAAAACAGATACGGACGTGTGGTGGGTACTGTGGTAGACTGTGCAACCGTGAACAGACAAATTATGCGTGCAATGGCGTTAATTAGAAGAACAGCAACAGAAAAAACGTCATTTCCATTTCCTAGCAAGCAAAATGCTAATCAATGAAGATCTCGGCCACCCACAGGCGTGGTCGTAAAAAATGAATCAGAAATTCAAAATGAATAAAACAGATGAGAACAGGTGGAACATTCCAACCGCCAGTTGCAACATAACCGGCACGCTTGCGTAAAAAAAATAATTGGCATCAATCCTGGTGCGAGAGGGTAACCAGACTGTGTGTCAAAGAAAAGAACCTCCGAAATGGAGTGGGAAGCGTGATGGTACGCCAAACTGGTTTAAATCAGTGAAAAAAAACAGAAAAGGAGAAGTGCAAATCCCGCACAACCCGGATAGTATGATAGTTGTGTCATGGTTCTGAAATCTCTTAACGAGGGTTAAAAACTGAATAAAATTAAGATTAACAGAAACATCCCAACTAAATGTACTGGGCAATTCGCTTCCACGAAGAACGGAATGTACTCGGGGTCTAATGATGTAACACTGTACAATGATTATCTACGTTTACTTGATCGAAATGTTATCTGGTCAAGACTAGAAAACATTAGATATGCTGCGAACAAAAGATGCTTCTGCTTCATAAAAAGCAAAGCATGCTTGACTAGAAATTGACATAGCGTTGGTTTATCGGATTATGCGTGACCCTCGTTTTTGTGGGTGACGTGAGCTTCATCGACAGACCATAGGTTGTGAGGTCAAACGAGGTGTTGAGTATTTCAAGTGACTGCGAATGCGGCTTGTAAGGATTTCGTGGTACCCAGAAGTTTAAAGATGTCGGATACAGCAACTGCTACCCCAGTAAGTGTATCATAAAGTACTGGGCACAAGACCATAAGTGTTGAAGAGAGCTGCAGGAGGTGGTGTAATATAACGGATAATTTGGAATCAGTGGTTTTGTTTGCTGTCACACAAGCAAATAAAAATCGAGCCACGTAAACAATCAGTGAGATTGAGGAACGATGAGGGCAAACGTACTTGGTTCGGTAGCACCATAACCAACAAACCATACAAATTTAACGGTTATTAGCAGGGACATTAATGCCATTTCCAACAAATAATAAGTGGATGTAGAGATGACATCTTTCTCTCCATGGAGGATATAGTGACGGTCAAATAGAAAAGGTGTAAACCCGACTGCAGAGGTTCTATTAGCAAGGAAAATGTGATAAGAGTGACACAACCATGTCAAAATCAGTAGAGTACAGCACATAATTCAACCATTTGGTACGCAAGCCAGATGCACAGTCAATGAGTAAGAATAAAATGGAAAAGCTAATGATACATGCAAACAATGAATTAGTTCTAGCCAAGGGAAATTAAGCTTTACGAACCCAAATAGGTTCAACTTCAGAATTCACACTAAACCGGCGGATGAACAATAAAGACTAGGGAAAAATACGTAAACAAGAAGAGAAATAAAACAGATACCCCACTTTTACTTCAACAACCATTCATGCAGCAAGTTTATGACTCCTTGGGTGTACAAGCAAGCGTGCTAGATACGGTAAGATGAAATGCGGGGAAACAAAACTTTCAATTTTGATAGCGTCGTTGAAAAAGAGCGTGTTCGAATGGTAGCTGCGAAGTGAAGAAAACCATCAACTAATAGTCAATACAGACATCAAGATGCCTAGAAGTGATTTAATCAACTAGTGAATCTACCTAGACCACTGCATCTAGAAATATGTTTATCGATCATACCAATAAGGCAAAATCTTCCTGAAGCAGTCCAGTCCAAGTACAACCAATACAGGATAATTTATGAAGTTACAAATGCAATGATCAAATTACAGGATACTAAAACAGTCTGAATTCAGATAGCATAAAAAGGAAGTTGTCTGGAATTGGGAAATTTACATGAACGTGCGCTGACCAAGAGGGATAATGGAACAAAAATTACCCGCGATACTTGATCGTGGAGGATCAGCGTATGGGATTGCTACGCACACTCGGAGTGGGGGATATATCAATGACAGACCGCAACCTTTCACCACGAACAAGAAACAGCACCACATCATTGCACCTAGAAGCATTGAGAATAATTGCTCTGAATGAAAATCACGATACAACTCAGCAAAACATTGTCAGTGCATTTGCATCCAATATACGTGGGTGGTGTAGGCAGACCTTTGACATATAAGGACAATAGATAAGGTGATAGGATCGCATCCGCAAAACACCAAAATTGGTATGAAAGACTGGATTCCATATTGGAGGGTTAAGTTTGGACTACACGTTGTGTGATTGGATTGCGACGCGCAATCTCAATGTAACGGACTGTGGTTCACACTGAAGTGATCGCCGTGACTAAGGTTCACTTCAATGTGAACCACAGTCCAGTAGATTGAGATTGCGCGTCGCAATCCAATCATCCAACGTGCAGTCCAAACTTGACCCTCCAATCAGTCATTCACCGTTGTGCCAAGCGTTGCCCACTGTGACGCGGTAACCAAAGGGGTATAGGTTTCGGCTACTATTCCAATGTTCGCGGGATCAAGGCCTGCTGTCTCTACCTGATAAGATAAAATTACATCAAAACACGTCGTGGTTGTGCAATGATTTCGGGTGGGCAACACCCAATTTCCATTTGCTTTGAGTACGGTCCCAGTGATCGCCCTGACTAAGGTTCACTTCAATGTGAACCACAGTCCATTACATTGAGGTTGCACGTCGCAATCCAATCAACCAACGTGCAGCCCAAACTTGACCCTCCAATTAGTCATTTACCGTTGTGTCAAGCGTTAACCACCGTGATGCGGTAGCCAAAGGGGTATAGGTTTCGGCTAGTTTTCCAATGGTCGCGGGATCAAGGTCTACTGCTGCACCAGATGAGATGAAATTACATCGAAACACGTCGTGCTTGTGCAGTGTTTTCCGCTTGGCAACATCCAGAATTCTATATTGTTTCATCGGATTTGCATCTGTCATCCAGTGCAGAGGTTGCAGGAAGAACAAGGTATGCTACTACACCAGTGTAGAACGCCGAAATCCATAGATATTGTCTGTAGGGGTGACTGTGAAAATCCGTGGAATGAGCGGTTTATCGAATACTCAGTAGCACAAATGTACACACAATCGGGCACCGTGGTTATTTTCGTCACTCTCCAAATGTTCGGTCTCACATCCATAATCAGACATTTGTTGGTGATATCTGTCAAAAGTAGCGTAAGAGAATTGATGAACCCCTTTAAAACTACCGGTAAGTGTACTACCGGACCACTAGCTTTGTTCGACTTCAATCTTTGGATTTCTTTCACATCGACTTGGTCAAGGTGGGCAGTTCAAACTGAACTGCGAAAGGAGGGCAGGGGTAATGTGCTTGATGAGTCTGAACTGAACTCAAAATTTAGTTTGTCCACATCCGCTATACCACTCTGGCTGCATGCGCTTATACCAATGCGAAGCCTCAATAGTCACCACAGATCACATCAGTTGGGGTTGCCTAGAATCGTTTTGATGTCTAAAGTGTTTAACTGCTTTATCTCAGCTTTAAATGCTTAAGTTAGGCTCTGGACGTAAGTAACTAGCTTGTATTTACAAGCTCGGTCATTCGTCTTTCCAACTCGCTTCAGCAGTGCTGATGAAAATCCATCTGCCCTTAGGTAGATCGTTTCAACTAGGTTACAATGGTCAAAGTAGAAATTAATTAAGTCCTGTGACGGTCGCATAGAATCGGCAAATCATCATCGTTGTAGACTAAAAAATCAGTCAAGGGAAACGTCAACTAGAGTCTTGTGATGTTTTCAACAGAGCAGTTTCGCTGTTTGATAGTCATGGAAAAATGTCTAGTCAGTGTGACAAAACCGGCTCTACTCCATCTGATTCGGCAGAATTTTAAAGCGCAGTGATCTGGGCTGCTCAAGACAGCCCGTTTTTGTTTGGAAAACAATCACACTTTGTTTATGTAGACAGCGTTTAGGTGCCTGTCTGGTCTGAGCGAAAAAGCACGAAATTCATCAAGCCGTATCGTCACGTATATTATGTCCCTTCTTTAAAAGTCACGAGCAAAGAGGCAAACAGAACATTCTAGTTTCCGCAGTAGTATCAGAGAAACTTGGTCCTCAAAATGCCTCAGTTCCGACACAGTTATCGGTAGCTACGTAGACGCATTTCTCGCGATTACCAATTGAAATCTATGAGACAATTGGTTCCCATTCGATCAAGTGTCATCAAGATCCTTATGGGAATGGTATCACGCTAGATTGCATCAATATTGGTTAACGTAAGCCGTAACGCCCACAACACGGAACTATGGCTTTCCATGGTGGTCAGTCCGGATGGGAAAGTAGTCATCGAGTTGAATAATTCCATCTTCCACAACAGTATGCAGCCAACTACCTTGTAACTCAATTACAGCTGCATTTACATACTTTCTTCGCTGCATAATGGCATTAAGATCAACGATTTTACTTTAATGTATGGGTGGCTTCCACATTGTCGATAGAGGAACGCTGAGGTCAGATTGCCAAGCAGCACGATGCTTTCCCAAAACGTTTCTTCATAACTGCTTCAACGATGTTCCTGACTTTTTGACCACATTCAATGGGGCACGGATCTCGGGCATTATCACATAACGTTTTTCAGAATTTGACGGAGTAGGATAATATTGTTCATCACTGTTTCAAAAAATATCATGAAGATCCAAGAGAAAAAGGTAAAATGTGCGTTCAAACGAAAATGGCCTGCATTTTTGGGGATGATGTAACGGTTTTATTAGATTCCTGATGTGGAAAGACATTTAATTGATAGTTAATATGCAGACAACCGTTTTTTGCACTAAGTCTTCTATGAATTACCGAGATCACTATATTTGTTATAACGGACGATATTTAAAAGATCCTATAAGATAAACGATAAAGTTCTGTTTTTTGCCGTAATTTCCAATTGCTGGTTGTGGGATCGCAGCACGTTTGCTTAACAACTGATATGCCACCATATGCACACACATCTGCCCATTCGCAGTCGTTCATTTATCAGAAACCTCCGTTTTTTGATATTTTTCACCTATCGCAACTAGCACATTTATGCTTCCATATACCAAATCGTGTTCCCTTAGTTATTTGCATACTGAATCCCTTAAAGCTGGAAATGTCATCAAGTAACAAAATAATTGATTATTGCAAAATACGGAACTTTAAACGCTCATACAAAAGAAATTATGCGATTTTCGATTGATTTTTGAACTTTCGAGCAGCAGATTAGTGGAATGCTGCCGAATAGTAACGGCCGAATTTAAAGGCTTCGTCAGAAGTATCGTGTTGTGATCAAACAGTGGCGAAAATAAGAACAAAACGAAAAATTGCGGTTGAAGATTTGAGGTGAGATGCATTGACCATACGATGGGATTAGAAAAGAAGTTGAAAATTGTCCCGTAACCCGGATCACGCGAGACTCAGAAGACTGAATAGTGTGCCACGGCGACAACGGAGTGGTGAATATCAAAGGCAACAAAAGTAAGTGGAAAGAAAATAAATGACGATTAATTGAAGCCCAAAAACATTGATGTGGTCCAGATCATGCATGTATTGGTGAAAATGGGAGTGATAGTGTTGATTTAGCCGGTGGAGTACCAAGTATGTCAACAAAGCCAGTAAGCTCTTCAAGGGCATACCTTGCGATAAACGGCCGCTGTCAACGCAGTGCGCATATGCATTCCAAGAATGTTCAAGTTTCTGAAGTAACGCTGAAGTATCAGAGTTTGGACGCCAGCACTTATGAACATCGCAACTGCATAAAAATAACCGTGCCACCATGGTTCATCCGAGGTACCTTGAATGAAGTTCAGCAATAATCTGTGGGAAAATAGAACAAATAAGGGTAAATGTGGAATACTCAGTCCCGATCAGAAAATGTGGAGTAACATTGTGGAACAAATGGTCCATTAGTAGGTTAAACGAATGGAGCGTAAAGTATTGTGCAAAGGACAGTGGTTCAACCAGGTAACTGTGCAGGTATTGTCACCCACCACCTGGGTCCATCCAGAGCACTAATGCTTATAAATCCGGATGAGATCTTTTTGTAAAATGGGACGATGCTCCTGAGCTTAATGACCACAACAAGGAAGCCGACGATTTTCATTTAAGAACGATCTAGTCGGGCACAACATGCAGCAGAGACGACTCTGGAATGGCTGCTGTTGAACAGTAAGAAAGGTATCATGAGGCATACAAACACATTACCCGTTGTGCACAATATCTCACAGGAATCACCGATAGGATAGACACTAATGAAAAGAGTTTGACAGGGGAAAAGCCGGTTTTTCATTGGTGGACCAAGAACCGACAATCAGGTCACACAAGCTAGGTATATCAATTTTGTCAGGAACAGTAACAATAAGTTATGACCAAAGTAGAGGGTTCCGGTAAGGCCTTCTCGCATGCCTGCACTCCACGCCAACTCCCTTCTAAGGCTGACCATAGTAGCATGTTACGGTCGGAAAACACATATGAATAGTTCTAAAGCTTAAAAAGCCGTAAGTGACAGACACCCAGCAGATCCCAACAGATCTCTACAGTCACACCCCCGCGCTAGATTTCCTCCCCCTTGCCTACCGCTCAGGTGACTGAGCCAAAGACTCCGCGTGAAGTCCCTCAATCAAACCTCTATGCAACATGCCGCCTAACGGGTAAGAAAGTTGAATCAAAGAGACCTAGAACATCTAGAGCAAAACACCACTGTAGAGATTGATCCGAAAAGTATCATTTACCCACTCAACTTCCTCGACAATTGTAGTTCTCCTCGTTTTTCTCTCGCCTCTTCTTCCCCGTCAATTAAGGAAGAGACTGCCACTAACCCCGCAATTGCTGCCATCGATACATATAGCTCTTCCATCAGACCTAGAGTTTCATTTCACATTGGTTCCGTTAACGTCCGCACTCTAGGTCAGATAGACCAGCAGGCGGCACTGACTCTCACTCTTCACTATCTTGGTATTGATGTGTCAGGTATCTGCAAAACACGCATACAAGATAACAGCGGCGTGACGAAACTATGATGCTGTCAACATTGACTACATTCTGCGCGTCTCCAGTGACACTGAGTGTGTGGCTCAAGGTATCTGTGGTGTCGGTATCGTCATAAGCGAACGTGCTGTAAGTAACCAACTCGATTGAATACCACTGAACAGCCGCATGTGTGTTGCTCGACTTCGACTCTTTGTTGGATTTGATAAGCATCGTCTGAAGACAAGGTACCACCTCATTGCTTTGGTTTATGCTCATAATGACTATAGAGCTGGACATAAGTAAATACTCTCATCCTCCACTAGACCCTTTTAAAACGTCATAATGGAAAGAAAAACGTCAGTCCAAAGTATATCCTACATTGGACACTTGCAGATTTAAGTTACAATGTACCTGTAAGCGGCAATCCGCTTGGAAATCTTGAGTGATCGCGTCTCCACCGGTTTCAACAAAACAAGATCGGAACTGAAATACAGTACTACTGGTAATCAATTAAAAATAACAAATATACAGTACCCCAATAATCAGTGCTTCCGGCACAGACGCTTCAACAACGGCAACAGTCAGAAATAGCCAACAAGTATGGCTTCAAGATGCACGTAGGAATGAACTCGTCTCGGTGCATTGTGGTTTAAAACGGGTTTACACCAGACCGATCAGAAAGTAGGGAGGCTACCATGAGCCGCGGGTGTGAGAATCCGCACCTTACACACAGCGATGGCATTGTGTGCCAAATGTACACAAGGGGGGAACAAAGCAGTAGGCCTATCAAACCAAATAGTTTCAATGTCTGATCTTCATCCACAACAACTGCAATATTGTTAGGTCAAATGTGGTGAACAGTGGTGATCACAGTGGACAGATTGAAACATTATAAGTGCACCGATAAAACATCGGGCGTTACTGTGTGAAACGACAGTGGTATTTTCCGAAGTAAAAAAGTAGGTGAAACGTGATTGAATGTGGATCATCCACATTCTCAAAGTGCAAAAGAAAAGTAATTAATCCAATATCGGTAAGATAATGTGCAGTGAGCCAGAGAAACGTAGGTCTTACGACAAGGGTAAGTTGGGTAAATGGCAGAGGGAATTACAGCCAGAGGATCATTGAACGGGATAAAGGTATCACAAGAAAGGGTATGCGGGATTCCTCTACAGTACCTCTTATCACTAAGCAACTTCTCTTCATCCCCCACCTCGAAGAGAAGGAAAATGTGGTCCATCCATACAGGTAGCTCCCCATCAGGACGCCAAGAAGTTAGCTATACACGTTTAAGGCTTTGGAATGGAGAACCACACTGACAAAAATATGATTCCCATATAAGTTTAACGATTGGACTACATTGAGGATATTATGAGAAAGAAACATGAAACATTGACCCCGTCGAAAATGGCGTGCCTCCTGTCAGGTTTGGGAGGAGAAACGCCGATCGTGATCGTAATGACCGAGGTCTACTTCAAAGGGGACCGAGGTCTGAATAGAGACTGCGAGTCACAATCCAACTACAGCGGGTACCTTAAATGCAACTTTGAATTCCTTACCGCTATGCCAAGCGTTGCCCACGGATCTTGGAGCCATAGTTGTCAAGGCGTTAACCTTTGAACACTAGGCCTCAAAGTCCAGCCCAGCTCAGGCTATCTCAATTTGATGAATCCAAACAAGGACGAAACCGGTTATGGGGTGTCAGGGTTGGGAGGAGCAACACCGAACCACCAACATAATAATTACTATTATCGTCACGTATCATCACTTCTGCGTATGGTGAAGTAGTGGGTCACCCATCGGACTCCAAACAACATCTGGAAGGCCGATGCAAACCGAACAGAAAGTGGCGATACATTCCCGCAAATATGTGTCGAAAATAACGTTTGTATTAACAGCACTGCCTTAAAACAGAAATGGTCACACCGTTTCACTGGCACTTACCGAGTTACTCGATAGCCTAGACCCAATTTGATCATCTTGCTATCAGCTGTGGATGGCGAACATCAGTCAATGACTGTCGGTCAGTTTCGCGTATGTGCCTGTATTCTGACCATGCTCTAGTGCGCGCACGCATTGCATCCACTCTTCGCGCTTCACAGAAACGCTTGACTTCAGAGTTTCCCACTTATATCTCGAACTCGTAGTCCGCCATTTCATAATGTTATGACGAACTACCACGACAGTGGTCAGTAGTACATGTGGTTGGTGAGGCGAAGGCTGACTGGTGTCGTCTTAAGTGCTTGATAAAAAATGATTTTGACATCTACTGTACGCCCGGATTGTGAATGGGTCTCTGAGGCATCTATTAATCTGAACAAAGTACAGAAAGGGGTTCCAATGGGTACAGAGTGTTAGTGAGTCGGTAAGGCCATGCAACAACGACTGACAAGGAGACGGAGAATTGACGGAGCACGTCGGTGGGTGGCAAGGACCCGTGAAATGAAGAAAGCCAGTGTTACTGGAAACAACCGAGTACTTTTCCAGCTCACCCTGAACACAAGGGCAATAAAAACCTCAAGTAACGAGACAACAGTGGAGAAAGATGTTGAGTTGATCCAATGTCAGTGGCATCAAGTAGCCCGTTGGGCGGAACGTTTTGATGAGCGATTCAGCAGACCTGCTGCAACACTGCCACTTACTAAATCAGGTGAGTCTAAGCGGTAGGCCTATGTTACACCACCATTTGGGATGATATTCGATATGGGTTTACGGTGGTGAAGAAAAACAAGGCTCCTGGACTCGAAGACGTTCCTGCATCATTGCTAAAAGATGGAGGTAACCCTTTGTTGACTGGACTTGCTACTCTATTCAACACGACTAAGAACATGGAACAGGTGCTCTCAGATTAGCGACTGGCAAATGTGCCCATCTTCAAGAAGGGTTAACGGAATCTGTGCGAAAATCATCAAGGTATTAACATCATTTCCATTGACTTCCAACCTCTCACGGTTATCATTCTTCAACGGTTTATTGGTCCTCGTGAGATTCGAATCATTGAAACCCCGGCTGGCCTCTACCGTGATCACTGGTGTATCGACCAAATATGCACTCCTCATCGAGTATAAGAGCAGAGACACCCTTACGGACGACCGACTATGGTAGTTATTCTTGACCTGAAAGCCGTCTTCGACTTTGTCAATTGGGCTAACTTGTAACATTGTCTATCCATAAAGCGCATTACAGTGAAACTCCTTTTCGTTCTAAAGCCTGACTACCGTGATAAAAGAGGTTGGGTAAGGGTCTACGCAAATCTATCTCCTGAGCTCCCTACGACAAGTAGGGTTCGTCAGCGTTATGCTTTCATCTTTCCTCCTCAACTTTGTGGTCAAAATGAACACAAATCACTCCGTTTCTTTGGGATCTTTTGGAGTGAAAAACATACCAGACGAGAGATTGACAAACCTTGTGTAAACGGAGGGGTGCAGTAGCTATGCAAGCAATACTGAATAGATCGACGCGTAGCGCTCCACGCTTCAGTGTGTGCATTACAACATCAAAGTGCAAAGTGTTATTGCAGTACTGGGCGTTATCGGTGGTATCTGTTGCTGAACAGTCACTGGAAGCGGTGAGTCGGTTCAATTGGTAACTGTGTCCCCCCTGGTAGTCACATCACAAGAGGCTTATTCGCATATCAGCAATGTCCGTGTGTCATTCTAGAGACTGAAGTATCTATGGAGAAGGCGGGATACTAGCCAATCGGTGAAAGGTTGGGTGTAAAACGCTGCAATAAGGTCTGGCCAGTTTGCAAAGAAGTTATTAAACGCTTGGTCCTGTTTGACCACCAGGGTCTTCTAGTTGGAATACCAAGTGAGCGATGCTGAGGTCAGCCACTTGCTTTTTGGCAA